GCATAGGAGGGTTAAGCGAGGAACTCCAACTGAAAACAGTTGCATGGTGCTAATGGCCATCAAGTCAATAATGGATTGGTGTTGCATTACTACCATTGAGTGTATAGTCATGCATGGAATTCTTCCCTAGAGTTGTCATTCATACCTGCGCCTATAGATGTATTTGAATTCAATTAGCAATAAGATGTACATTAAGCTGAACAGAAACAAACAAGCTTGACTTCCTGTTATATGTCATTCCCTCTGAAAGTTTTTCCTTTAACAAATCAGTTTATTATATTTACTTAAAAGCAACATATTTTTTTTTCAGTAACCAGTGACCCGGCCTCTAATAAGCCTTTTCTTTTCTGTCGTGTATCCTCCGTGCATCACCCTGTGTGTGTGTGCTGCTTGTCAACTGGTGTGATGAATGGAATCAAATCCAATCAGGGAACAAAAGGATTTCCTGTCTTTAAACCAAGACAAGTTTGCTCGTCTTGCTCTCAACACATGTGCACATTGTATACATGCAGGTTCAATTGCTGAATGGCTGCAGTATTCTGGTTGCTACCCTACCCTGTCTCCTCCGAATGCTTCAAGACGACCACACCAGCCTCAACAGACTGAGTCACTTGGTAAGTTGAGATGTCCACCTCAGATGACTACGTCAGGCCCTCCACAGCAATCATTTTGTAGGTAGGAGTAGTTTTTTAGCATTCATTGTATGGAAACATTAATTCATTCCCCCCCGCAAAACAAAATTAGGACTGAAATACTGTGTTGTATTTTCTTTTGTCCTAAGGTCCTTGACGATGCTGACATCCTTTGTGAAGACTTCACAGATAAGGTATTGCTCTTCCCCCACAACTGTCCTGTTTCTTGTCTAGTCATATTTCTTTTCTTTTTTTTTTTGAATTTAAAATCACGTCTCAGATTTCTGATGTGAGTTCAGTGGTTGATAATTTGTCAAGAGTGAAGGTGTGTGTGTCTCACCATGGTTTAAGTTAAGTGCATGCGTTCTACTAGTGAGGACCCTCGAATAGGAGCAGTGCACACCAGTGTTTTGAGGTGTATGCCAAACCGTATCTCAAAGATTCCAAGGAAGCGTCTAGAACACTTGTTTTCTTTATTTCTCAGGTAAAGGAGCTGATGTCGGAGTATGCCACAGTCCTCTCCAGGCCCAACAGCCAGCGTACCGCCCCCAGGCAACTTCTCCTCTTCTCCTCCCACTGGACCATGGGCCTGGGGTCCTTCGTCCGTGCCTACATGGCCGACCCTGTCGTGGTTATTGCCTCGACACTGGAGGCAGCAGTGTACGCCCGTGTTGGACAGGTGAGCATTTCCTCATGGAGGCCAGTCGTGTCCTAGAAATGTCTTTAAAAAGATGGAGATGGAGAGCTTTGGGCTATTCCACAACAACCGTATGAAATTCAGATTTAATTTGAGACACGTCAAAAGTGGTGTTGTGTGGAAACTTCAACATGTAAAACAGCAAAAGGGCCACTTATGTACTACTAAGTTGCACTTTAAATTTTCAAGAGGTATTCTGTGTCAGGGAGATGGGTCATTCTGTAAATTTGGGGTCCAAAAGTGACATTTTGGGTGTACCTGTTACACACGACCTGTGGAAGTTGACATGGAAATATTGGAATTGACTTACAGCTTCATTTTTATCTTTGGCAAGGTATTTTGTGTACAAATTAACGACTGTGTTCTGAACTTACACAATCAATTGTCAGATGTGACAGGGACAAAATAAACAGTGGATGCCAAATGTGTAGAATGACCCAGATGTTAATGTGAAGTACAGGTTTTGCCCTTACACAGACGTATATTACATCGGTGTAAGGGAAAAACCCATACAATTCAGCCACCACCAGCAGTCTGTCTTCTATAGGGATCAGGGTGTGTAGTTGGCCTTCTCGCCATACTCTGTTCCTCTGTGATCTTTAACAGGTCGTGCTAAGACAAGAGCCCAGCGAGCGAGACGGATTCCTCCGAGGCCTGCTGGACTCGGACTCGCCGACTCAGGCCAGGAGGACCGTCATCTTCGCCAACACCAAGGATCAAGCCAAGCATCTTCAGGAGGTCAGTCTGTCAGTCAGTGGCCGCTGAGTCACATTATCGGTGTACTCATGAGACAGAAGATCTAACCTCTTACATGTATGTGAGGCCATGCCAGTTTCTGAAATAGTATCGTTTGCTGGGCATAATGATGGTATTTCCTTTGTACACCATTCACAATGTTCCCCTTGTTGGCAGCACCAAGACATTGGTGTTGTCGAGTTCACTTCAGGTCTTTTAACAAGTGCAGTGACAAGGCCATACTTAAGACTATGAAATTGCGTTGGTCGCACCATGAACTGAAGCGCTGTTATGTACAGTCACGCTCATGTACATGTACGTTTGTAGTGTGACCAATCATTTAAATAGCTTGTAACTTGACTTTCAACTGGGTGACTTTGTTACACCAGTGAGAAGTGTAGAAGTGTAGGTGACTCTCCAAGGTCATTGGCATTGCGTGCATGGTGATGACGCTACAGGCTTGGGTAATAACTACAGGTAGTGTGTGAGCTATGCCAGTTGTGTCAACAAGCACGCACATGCAGTAGGCACACCAAGGCCAGTCACTGCCCCATAGAAACCAATATGCAGTGAAGCAAAGTCTAAACAATAACTTTGTCACTTGCACACTCATAACTGCTTTGTGTGTGGAGACAGAAGTTTGCGACTTGGTGCGTGTAAATCTTGCATTATGTACAATTCCCCGCAGGTTCTGTTGGGCGGTTTCAGTCAGTACGCACTGCTAGCATTCAGGGGTATGCCCCAGCATCATCTGGAGTCTGTCAAGGAGGAATGGTGCGCCCACCAGCGTAGTAATTCCCAACTTATCCTTGGTGAGCAAGGTTTCCTAGTCCCTTGTCTTGGAATTTTAACAGCATAATCGCGAGGGAGTTTTGAATTGTCTGAAAAACAAGCTGCAGCAATGGCTCCCTGTGAAGGCCTGATATGCTGTGTTATGGCAGAAGTGGAAAACTGACACCTCCGTAACAGACAGACTCTTCTCAACTTCGAAAGAAACTTTTCAAATTCTTTGTCACATTTCTTATTTTGCCCACCAGCCCCCAAAGTAGAAATTTGTGACCCATTCCATCAGGATGACTCGGAAAGTAGTTGATCGACTTTTGTGTTTGAAACCCTCTGTGGTTGAAACCTTTCTTTTTTCGGTAGAGATGATTTGGAAATGCCCATGTTTTGACCTACATATTAGGGTAATTGCAGAAAATAGGGCTCCAGAAGGATGACATTTTCGTGTCCCTGTTACATCTGACCTTTGTTATTTGTCATGGAAATATCACCGGAACTGATTTCAAACTATTACTATTTATTTGCCAAATACTTTGCACTATTAGAAAATTTGTTCTAAACATACAAAATCATTTGTCAGATGTGACAGGAACATAAAACAAAATGGACTCCTAATTTCTGGAATTACCCATTATCCTGTTTCATCAGATTGCCAGACTTTGATATGTTCATACATGTATGAGAGCAAAGTGCATGCTCTTTCTATCACACATAATAACACAAGTTGAAATCTCAAGTGTAACTTTTTGTGCTCTACTGTACACCAGTTTTATTCGGAAAGTTTGATTCCAGCTTTGCTTTATTTCTGTCGCGACGCAGTGTGCACAGACAATGTTATCCAGGAACTTGGCATCACTAGTGCCAACACGGTGGTCCACTACGACTTCCCTCCCTCCAAGCAGAAGTTTGGCCTACGACTCAGCTGCATGACAGACCACTACGCCTCCCAGCTGGAAGAGGTAGGGAGAATTTGGGGAGACTGTTTTTAAGGTTGAAAAATCCAACTCTAGTGCCTGACCCCACATGCGGTAACAGGTTATTGGGAGGGTAGCTTGGTAGTATATGGATAGCTCATGATAATGGTTACTTGTTCCATGAAACCTGGACAATGTTTGATTTTTTTTCAAATTCCTTTTTAAACTTTCTCTTTGCTTTCCTGACTGTCGGGAGGGATTAAGCCGCTGGTTGCTGGTGCTAGGCTACTTCCTTTCCCAGTGCTTGTCATGCCATGATGCAATCTGTGTGCCAGAAACAATAGTTTTTGCAGGGTTAGCTGAAACGTGCTCGCAAAGATAAAAATCAGGAGGCCCATATTGGAAACTGTGATGCTCTTTTTTGAGCTGTGGTGAAAGGCAAAAAGTGTAGATGATAGCCCTGACGAACTTGGTCATTATAGGGGAAAAAACAGCACTGTATGAACTAAACATGCTTGCAACATCTAAAACCCGCTTTCATTGGCATATGCTAGACAGGGATTTTTGTCGTCAGGTCACAGTTCACAGACGTTTTAAGAGGAAGCGATGCACTCACTGTGGAATGATACATTTGGACCTACTGTGTGTTTTCTACCGATTGGTCACAAAGGTAGGCATTTCTTGTACCTGACAAGTTTGGTTTTGGATTTCCTCCTTAGGCAAAAGTGTCAGATTGCCGGTCTATCCTGCTGATCTCCAAAGACGACACAGCTCTCATCCCCGGACTAGCCAACCTCTTGAAGAGGTGCAGTTTTGCAATCCCCACCCAGCTGAACTTGGATGCAGCCGTACAGGTAATGATTTTAATACGACCAGTGGAATATTCCATTTATAGAAAGGGGGCTTAATTAATATTAAGTGGAAAATATGCTCTTTGAAGGAATGCCGTGCACATGAGAATTTACCCCAGAAAAAATGTCCTTTTTCAGTTGTGGCAGAAATCGAACTCAGACCTCATTGAACCTTTTTCCCAACCTTCTGATTCATGAAATAACCAACCAGGCATGGCAAAGTTAAATTTTGAAGCTAACCGGAAGAGGTTGTCTAGTGAATATGCAAAGAAGCGTCACAAATATTCATTTTATGAAACTTTGATCCCAGGAGAAGGAAGAAAGCAAGAAATGGAAGCCTCTCTGTCACCAGCTCAAGGCTTTTGGCGAATGCGGGTAATTTTGTTCTTCCTTTTTCACTCGCAGCTAAGCGCAGATCAATGTAGTGGTATGTTTCCCCCCAAAAGCTCGGCTTCATTTTTGATGTCATCTCCCGCACTCGACTGTTGGAACCAAAGGTTTGCGGGTACACCATGTGAAATCAATCTCCTCCGTAGGAGGGGTGGTTCTGAGAAGAACCGGTGAGTGTAAACTTGACGTTTCGACCAGGATCCTCTGAGTGTCCCCGGGAGAGAA